CCCCCCCCACCCCACCCCCCCCATTCCAAAGAGTTCAAAGTGTGCATTCATTGTGGCTTAAAGCTGAGACTTACCCAAATTTATTCTCCATTGTGTGTAATTTTGCCTCTTCTCTCCTGGAGCTGCTACAGTCGCTTCCCTCCTGCCATATCCCGAATTGGCAGGTTTGGAGCACCATCCTGCACTCATCCCTTGATCAGCAGGGACCTCTCGTGGAGGAAACTCAGGCGTTATTTCAATCCCCTCCTTTTATTTTTCAGTCATGCATGCCTAAGGAACAAAGAATACAATAGCATAGCATCGACTAGCATAGACTAGACTATTTCAGTTGGAAGGGATCTACAACAACCTTCTAGTCCAAATGCCTATCCACTTCAGGACTGACCAAATTAAAGCATGTTATTAAGGGCATTGTCCAAATGCTTCTTGAACACTGACAGGCTTGGGGTATCAATCATCTCTCTAAGAAGTCTGTTCCAGTGTCTGATCACCCTCTTGGTAAATAAATTATTCCTCATGTCCAGTTTAAACCTCCCCTGGTGCAGCTTTGAACCATTCCCACATTTCTTATCACTGAATTCCAGGGAGGAGAGCTCAACACCACCCTCTCCACAGCCCCTCCTCGGGAAGCTGCAGAGAGCAATGAGGACACCCCTCAGCCTCCTTTTCTCCAAACTGGAGAAACCTAAAGTCCTTAGTCGCTCCTCACAAGACATGCCTTCCAGCTTGTCACCAGGTTTGTTGCCCTCCTCTAGATGCCTTCGAGTACCTTCACATCCTTCTTAAATTGTGGGGCCCAGAACCACAAAGGTTGTTCAGTCCCAAAATCTATTGCTCATCTGTTTGCCACCCTCCAATCTTAATTTCTGCATGTGAGCTGAAGGAAGGGGAAGCATTTTCCAGAAAAAGAAATATTCTGGCTTTGGGAAAGCAGTGTCTGGGGAAGAGAAACTCAAAGTCTTTTGAGGGAGGCATGGTGGTTTGACAGCAGTTTGCTGGGTGGCCAGCACACATAGGGGATGACTGGCTTTGTGGGGGCAGCTGGGTCAGGAATGGGGCTGCCCCAGTGAAGGTGACTGATTGGGGTGCAGGTGAAAACCTCTAAGAAATGGCTTCACCAATGGCTCTTGGGACACCTTGTCTTCCTAGGAAGGAGTCACTGTTCCCTCTCCAGCACTACAGCACCCAAAAGAAGCAGTGTAGGCTAGCTTCTTTGCTTTCACCTAACGTCGCCCTCATTCCTTTAAGGTCAGGGTAAATGTTCCTGTGCAGAAGCTACAAAAGACCCTTCTTTCTTCCTCCTCCCTATGACAATAACCTTCCTGATGCCAGTAACAGATACAGGTTAACCTGAAGGCCACTGCATTCACCAACAAAGTTCTTTCCTAACAAAGTAACTCAAGCATTTTCATTCACTACCTATGATTTTTAACATGCTTAGGATACATGACTGAAGGATAACAGACCTTTCCCTTCCCTCCCCAGGCAGAGGTTTATGCTCCTGATGTTGATCAGATGCATGTGGTGGACCATGTAAAAGGACAGCCCACTCAGGAGAAGCGCAATGTGCTAGTTGAAAGTGCCAGAATAGCCAGAGGCAACATCAAGGATCTAGCTAAGCTGGATGTCAAGGAGCTGGATGCCCTAATCATACCAGGTAGGACAGCATGCAGGGTCTGCATGCCCAGCGTCTTGGGAACAGCTTAGGTATGCTGTAAGCCTTGAATGACATGGCAGTCAGGGGCTGGAGAGGAACTGGGCAGAGCCACTGGGGAAGATGACAGGCTGGAAACAGGGACTGGAAGGACAGACATCTTCCATCTGTGCTGGCACTGGCATGCTAACTCGGATTTATATTAAAAGAGCATATGGCAATGCAGACGCTTATCCTAAGAAGAGAGGGCAGGTATCTGCCAACTGAATTATTCTTTGTACCATCTACTGAGCTTTTTATTACTGGATGTAAAACTAACACCTGCCTCACCAACATGCCTACCTCCTTATCAGGAGAAGAAAAGCCTGAGACAGAGAGTGACTCAAAAGCAGAAAGCTGTGTCACTCTGGCAATTCATCTTTAGTGGAATATGACCACATGATTTCAGGGGGGGATGGATTAGGCCTGCAGCAAGGATTAAGAGACAAGTGAAAACTTGTTAGCATGTTCTACCATAATTCAGTTATTACTCAGGGTGAAACGCAGTACCCAACAGAGTACTGACACCTCCCCACTTCAGATCTCTATGGAAGCAAAGAAGGTGCTTTGATGTCTCATCTCCTGGCAGTCAGCTCAGAGAGGTTCAGCTTGTCTGTTTTTAAGTCTTTTATCAACATTGGACAAATGCCGCCATCCACCAAATCCATTTTAGCATTCTATCAAGTAATATCTGAAAAAAATCCGGAGTACTAATCTTGTGATCTAACCTGTTTCTCTTTTCTTAGGTGGCTTTGGAGTGGCTAAAAACCTGAGTACTTGGGCTACCCAAGGCAAGAACTGCATCATCTGCAAAGAGGTGGAGGATGTCCTGAAGGCATTCCACGCTGCCAAAAAGCCCATTGGCCTGTGCTGCATTTCCCCAGTGCTGGCAGCCAAAATCTTCCCGGGCTGTGAGCTGACCGTGGGTCATGACACAGAGTGTGAGAAGTAAGTAACCTTGGGGTGCTGATATGAAATCACACCATGAACATCGTAGAATCAGCAATGCTCCCCAATGTATGCAGCATCCTGTTTCAACTATCCTGTGCGGGTAGATGAAAGTCTTGTGATGATTAGTGCTGAGAGCAAATGATCCATATCATGCATTTATTAAATTCACCTTGGCTGTTTGATAGATTAAATAATCAGAGTTTTTGATGCACCACTTATCACTTACATATTCCTCTACATATGTCTCATGTTAAAATTAGAAATCTAACTTCACTTCTTACAGTTTTCTGTAATGGGGGTGTTTTACCATGCACAGGCATGAGACAGCAAGAACTGCAAAGGAATAAATTAGATTTTAAGTCAGGAAGACATTCAGATTTCTGGAAAGGAGGATTCTGTCCTTCGCTTGCCTGAGGGTCAAGCAGAAGGATACCTGAGGGATGAGTGGAACAAAGACAAGTATCAGAAGGGTACGGGCGCTTGTTTCCTTCCAGCAGAAGGCAAAAGCCATCCTGCAACAACGCTCTTACCTCAGACAAACACCACTTCAAAGACAGACTCTGCTGTAGCTGCTGCCTCTGGAGTGAAGCATTTAGTAACTAGGGCCCCTTGGATGACTTAACAGTTAAAACCTAAAAGTTGAGACATTTCAAGTTTTATTATTGTCAGCAGATCAGAGCGCATGCTATACCAGCAGATTTGTTTTCATTTCTGTATACTTCATCCTACAAGCCCGTGGCTTAAAATAAGACATTTTAAATATAATCTTGTATTTGCCTCCCAATCTAGCACCCTGTCTCATGCACCTCTTGGTCCCAGGGTAGGAGAGACACCAGACCCCTGACTCACAAAGTTAAGCAGATCCTAGGTAGGAGCAGGATGGTTACACAAGGCTTGGCAGTGTTAAGAAAGGAAGGGAGTTAAACTGTCCTTACTCATATGGGAAAGCTGTGACTGAATTGTCCCAATGGCAGGGAAGGGAACTACGACGGCTCTTGCTAGGGCTAGGAAGTAATGTCACTTGTAGGAATCTAGTGAAAAAAACCCAAACAAACCTAAACATAAAGTCTGGAGTGGGCAGAGTTAAATAGTGGAACATCTAGGTCTTATTTTGGCTTTACTTCAGATTTTTAACTCTCTGTAATCTAGAGGTTTTCTTGATTCTATAACCCTGGAGAAAGTTCTCTGACAGGAACAGATTTGGATTCTATTCAGCAGACTTTCTCTAGGGACTGTCTGTCTCTCTGTAATCAACATACTTTTCACTCTAGGCCTTTGTCAAATCACTCTGCATAATGATAGTTTCCCCACACAGTCTTTATTCTCTTTTCTTCTTGTAGGTGGCCTTACGCAAAGACTGCTGAGACCATGAAGGAGCTTGGTTGCAAGCATGTGAACAAACACGTCACTGAAACTCATGTGGATATGAAGAACAAGCTGGTAACCACCAGCGCCTTCATGTGCAATGCCCCCATTCATGAGATCTATGACGGCATTGGAAAAATGGTCAAAGAAGTGGTCAGACTTGCCTGAATGCACAAAGTCATAGAATCCATCTCCTCTGGAGTGCAGGCATTGAGCCTCAGATAACCTTCTTCCCCTCTTACACCTAAATTTAAACAGGCAAATTGCTACCCAAACAGACTTCTCCCCCCCCAGCAGCCCACAGGTGGCTGCTGAGGAGGGACAACTTCAGAGCAGTGGAAGTGTTGGCGTGTTCTGCCAAGGAGACACAACTTACTGAGAGCAAACTGGCAGTAACTGGAGTGTGGGCACAAAATGAGCTGGCATGCAGAAGCCACATTTCCATGGGACTTTGTTTCCACTGTCTTTGGTTCTGAGTGGCTGAGGAATTGCCTGGGTCATGTCAGCCGTGACTGTGCTGACCTGACATGTGCATATCATGTGTCAACAGGAATTGGTCCCTTTCTGAGATTCCTTCCTTTCTGAGATTCCTTACACATCCATCTTTGCCAGCACTTCAAAGCTCTCCACACACCTCCACCTCACAGAAGAGATAAGTTAGTGGCAAAAGGAAGGAACATGTTTCTGCTATTGAATAAAACCTGATGCTTTTTATATGGGCTGATTTCTGCTTTCATTTTTTGTTTTTTTACTCTGGATTAGGACATGCTTTTAGTGCTACTGGTTGGCCAATGGCAAAAATGATACAGGAAGAAGTCACCAGCAACAAACCCCAATTGTTTTGCTATGATTTGTCAGAACCCAGACTTGGGCATGAATATGACATGGGTGAAAGCAGACTCAAACCAATGTTAGCATCCAGGTCTAATGGGAAGAGGTTAAATTCTTTGTTTGTATTATCAGGTGGCCTGGTATGATACTACGGAGTATTTTGGAAGCAGCCTTCCATACTGCTCCAAGGCAGAAAGAGACCAAGATGAGGTCTGGGCATACCAGAGAAAGCAGTGCAATTTCCAGTCCCTTCCAGTCTCTAGGAAAATTCCTAGAAACAACCTAGAAGCAACAGTTCTGGATTGCAACAAGGGACAGACAAGATACCCATCTAGGTGAAACCTGAATGGCAAGCTGTGAACTGGCTGAGTGAGAGCAAAGTCTGGCAAGCAGAAGGCACTAAAAAAACCCAGTATCAGAGCAGCACAGTTGTTCAGATAACAGGAGGCCAGGCACTGGTTTTTACGGACAGAGGGAACCATTTGTCCATGTAACCTGACGACTCTGCGGGAGCTGTAAAGACCACAGCAACTTACACTGGGCTGAAGCAAGCCTGCTGAGAAGATTTAGTCTTGATCTGAAGACACCAATGTAGTAATTGATAGTTCATTCCCACAGTTAACCAACGTCATTTAAGATAAGCCATGCTTTATTTCTCTCTTACAGTTGAAGATCTTCTAGCCCCTGGATGCTGACAGGTTTGTCTCCATTAGCTTCAAGAGCTTTTTAGATGGTAGCTGGTATGTTCTTATGTAGGTTCTTATTATACAGGTAGTATCATATAATTGTTAGATTGAGTTGTTTAATTATCTCAGTGCAAGACGTTTTCTAAGCCAGCAAATATTTTCTGAGGCTCTTCTTAGCAAACTCTTCAGACTTTTTACATCTTTTTCAAAACACCAGCGTGTTTTTGCACTCTCATCATCATGGCAAGGTCCTTTGAGACTACACTGGTGGCCAGAGCGGCAAGAAATTTACCCACATGCTGCTATGGTGCTGCAAAGAGAGGTTCAAACACATCTGGCAGTGACAGAACAGCCCAGAGTAGCATAATACAGTAATTCTTCCCAGGTTTCTAATTAAAAAGTAGCTTAGCCAGTCACTCTTTCCTGTGTTACTTTTTTCCACTGATTCTCTTACCAATCTTTTTCACCCTGTTGGCCACCTTCCATAACCCTCTGGAAAGGTGTGAAAGCCTCCAAGACATAGACCAGGCAGTTTTGGGACAACAGCTGCCAGGAAGAGGAGGAAAATGTTTGCACAAAAGGTCCAGTTCCCTTGGACCTTTGACAATCCCCCACAGAGAATTGGGGGGAACATGCGAACCAGAGTAACATTCAGTCTGAATTAGCATTTAATCAGGACAGAAGCACAAATCCATAGGAGACCAGGCCTCAGAGCTGCAGTTTTTTCCCCATACTGTTACTTTTGAAGGGGAATCCACAGCTTAAACTGTTCATTACCTTATGGAATGTAAATGTTTCCAAGCCCTTGAACTCTTGTTTTATGCACAGCGCAGGAGTTCAGGAAAGGTACAGAAGTTTCTGCCAAAAGCACTAACTTTTGAGAGTTATACAGGATTTTCTGAGATTAAGAGTGTTTTGACTGACTTCTCAGATAGGCTGAAAACCTACAGGATGTAAATACAGTGGGAGAATTCCAGGGACTGGGTAAAGAATTTGAATTAACCCCTGACTTAGATCCAACCCACACAGACACAAAGCTAGTAACACTGCTGGGACACAGAAAACTGTTTGCACTAGCAGAGCATGAAAATCAACCCCAAAGATTAAATATTAACAGTATTTTGGTATGTTTTGACACCCAGAAAAGGCAACAAATGAGAAATAAGGAAGCTGGAGAAAAGTGACATTGTAACTAGTTGTTTATATGGGAATAGGAGAGAAAAAGAAAATCCTGTAGTTATGGTTCGGTCAGCGTCAGAATCCATAGGAACTCCACATCCCCATCTCCATCCACATCTGCTTCATCAATCATCTCCTGTGGGATAGCAAAGACTTGGAGACCAGGTTAGGTTGGATCTTAGAAGGTGGATGCTCTCAAAGTGCAAACACCAACGAAGGTCTCAGGCAAGGCCCAAGCAAGACAGAGACTGTGTCCATTGCAAAGCAACACAGCACAATCCCCCAACCAGTCTTCCCCACAGCTAGATGCTCCCCTCCCTCCCCAAGAGCACAAAAGGAGTATGTTTGTAATTCAAAAACCTGCAGCTCCTCATCCATGATGTCTTCTCCAACCTCACTAGCCATCACCTTTTGATTCTCAAAGATCTCACCAGTGCCATCACAGTCAAACACTTCAACAGCTTCCAGGATCTCCTTTTCCAAACATGGCTCTGCCTTAGCAAGGAAATGAAAAATGCCATTGTGTAAACATGACATCATACCACCCTACAATCCCTAGGCAGGCACTTTAGCCAGCAAACATTTGCAATCAAATCCAAGATATTTTGGGGAAAACATGGCTATAGAAGAGGGTAATCTGCTGTTATTTCAGATTTTCTTCCCCCCGCCCCACATAACTGTATATTAAAGGAAACACTCCAAGAGATGCTGTCTGTGCAGCATGGGGGCTTGGCCTGGAATATACTGGCCAATCTTTGTCAGAACAAAGGGGACTAGCACTACTACTCGAAGAGGAAGCAGCTGCCAAGAATGATCCAATGGCTACAGCTTTATTTTATTTCAAAAGTGAGCCAGGCCAGTGCTGGCTCTTACTGCCTTTACTCACCTCACACAGAGCGAATGCATACACAAGCCTGCAGTTGGGTGTGGACTTTGACTGAACTAGGGGGGAAAATGGGGATCTTCACTGCCCCCTTAGCATGAGTCCCGTGCCTACACGATACACAGCCTGTCAACTATGATCACATTGACGCCATGCCAACTATGCCCCAGCCATCTCCCACAAAGCCTTGCAATGAAATGGGAAGGATGGGAGACAGAACCAGGCAAGCCGGTGCTTCTTGAGAATGGCCTATGTCTGCCTGCAGCCAAGCACTTGATGATATGGAGGTTTTTGAGCCACAGGAATCTCAGATGGGTGATGAGAGGACATAAAGTAAAGAGTTGGTGTTGAACAGCAGCTCTTCAGTCTCTGCACAAGCTTGAGTGGCTGTTGCCTGCCAGAGGTACTGACAGTGTCAGTGGGTAGTGAGGAATGGTTTTGCTACAGATGGTGAATTGTTCATCTGATGTATGACATTTGCTCACCAATGTCTTGAACTGAAGAAAAATAGCCCTGTGACTCTGAAGACAAAACTGAAATTTCATGTGCAAATGTTTAAGGAAGGAAGTCAGGGCTCCTAGGTGCTGTGTGTGCTCAGGGCACTCCAGGATGGGAAGGACTTGGCTGCTGAGATGCAGCTGTCATCTGAACTAGCCATCCCGCTTCCTCTATAGTTCACAATAAGAGGTCAGAAGTGTAAGGACAATTCACCTGAAGGTAGATCTCTAAAATAGCTCAGATGAAACTCCTGAAACACTTCTGTTTCTCCCCTGCAGGGATCCAGTGACCCAATCTACTGTGGCTACCTGCATTGTAAAGCTAGCCAAGAGGAATTTCACTCTTTGTGATTAGCTAGGCTCACGTACCATTTTTTAACTCATCACCTGCAGAAACGACTTAAAGGTTAGCTTCCCTGACCCTTCTTCACTGAATCTAGAGGCAATTTTCACCTTCTCTCTCCCCAGTTCACAGCCCTTACTGTTATCTGCCAAAAGAGAAAACAGACCAACATGTTTGGTGTACAAATCAAACAGAAAAAAAAAGGGAAAGATGTTTGAAACAAGCAGGTACTTGAAAGTGGTGGAAAAGCCCCCACTATTCATCAACAGCTATTCATCCACCATTTTGCCTCTAGAGAACAGGGTTATGTAGTTGTCTAACATCAGTAGTATGAGGCTGTGAAAAATCAGCAGTGAGAAGCTGTCAGCATGGGCCAAGAAGGGAGGCTTCAGTCCCTCCTAAGGATACCTGGCTAGCAAGTTGGCACAAACCTTACACCACTGATGGCTGTGTAACAAGTTGGAGTTCAGACAGCAAAGTGTGTTAGCACAGCAAGTGGTCCAAATGCAATAGGTGGCAAACACCAATTGATGTCCCGCTGCTGAGCAGCGTTTATCAGGTGTTTGTAAATGATTAGCCCCATTTGCAACATGTATGTTTACTGCCAGTAAGTTCTGTTTGGCTACAGTAATTTAAACAACTGTGGTTCCAAAGCAACCGTGTCATTTCTACCAGCCTGAGGGGATTCCAGCTTCTGATCTGGGTTACTCAGACTGTGCAAACACATCCCGAAGGCAGCAGACTGAACAGCCTTCAGCTACAGAAACTTGTACCATGTTTGTAAAGGCCATTAAGAGGATAGGGGTTGTGAGAATTGCCTGAAAAATGTCATTCCTCCTCAATTTCTTAAGGATGGGGGTCACTGTAAAGAAAGACAAGGTAGAGGACTTCTGAGATTTGTTCTGTAACATCACAGAAAAAGGACCTTAACCTCCTACTGATCTGGGCTGAACTCAATCAGCAGCAGAGTGATGACAAGCTCTACATGCTGTTATAAACTCCCGCTGCAGGCACAGTGGTAATACTATAGGCAATATTGCAGTAATACGACCTTCCACGTGAAACGGGTTATGAAGGATACGGTCCACATCCATGCCTTTTTTTGAGTCTGCCTAAACAAAGTCCCTGCAGCACAGTTTAATGCTATCTTGGTGAATCAGTGAAAATGCGACAGAAGAGATTCACAACCAGGGTAGGAAAGTAGAAGGCTGTGCCTCTAGAGTGGTGGCACAGCTTCACCTGCTAAATGCTCACTGTGACCAGAGGTTCCGCTTCCCGACCATTTTCTCCTCCACAGCCCAGAGGCATGTGAAAGAAGCAACGCGGCTGTGTGGGGCTCCATGGGATTGGGGGGGAGGCATGAGGACTAGAGAGGAGTCACTAAACCTCACAGCCTTTGCTTTCACCACTAAGCACGCTGCATTTTTACAGCTTCTTGCCTTCAAGTCGCTGAAGCTATTAGGCCCGAGCCCTCGGGATCGAACAACTCAAAGGCCTCCCCGCAGCCGGGGACGCGGCGGTTGGTTTCTCTGTCGGGGAGCTCCCCCCGGCGGCGCTTCCCTCACTGCTGTACCTGTACGCCTGGGGAAGAGAGGTCCACAGCCCTCAACCAGGCCGGCGCGGGGCCCGGGACCGGTAGCAGCCACCCCCCTCCCGCCCTCCCTCAGAGCCCACGGAGCC